GGAACTCATACGACGGACTACAGTGCAAAGTAGTGCATGGAGGACAGCTGACAGATGCATTCCAAGTACGGACCGGAGTCAGACAAGGCTGTCTACTCTCTCCCTTCCTCTTTCTTCTGGTGGTCGACTGGATTATGAAGACCTCAACATCGGAGGGAAAACACGGGATACAATGGACAGCTCAGAACCAATTAGACGATTTGGACTTCGCAGGTGACCTAGCCCACCTATCGCATACACATGAACAAATGCAGATAAAGACAGCCAGTGTAGCAGCAGTATCTGCATCAGTAGGCCTCAGCATACACAAAGGGAAAACCAAGGTCCTCAAATTCAAAGCGGAAAACAGCAATTCAATCACTCTTGATGGCGAAACTCTGGAAGATGTAGAATCCTTCACATACCTGGGATGCATCATCGATGAACAAGGAGGTTCAGATGCAGACGTAAAGGCGAGGATCGGCAAAGCAAGGGTCGCATTCCTACAATTGAAGAACATATCTAATGTAAATTCTACTCTATATAACTACCTTCTTCAACGATTAATTTGATTTTTAGTGAAATAATTAATTACTTTCTTCATCATAATAACTTTGATTATTCTTTTAATAACTTCACATAAAAGAAATTAGTATTGTATAATGTAATTACTTTTTAATAATTTTTCACATTATAAATAGTGTCTTTAATGGAGTGAATAACTTGATTCATTTTTGTTATATCTTGATAGAAATCTATGATGATACAAGGCTAATAATTAATAATAAATAATGTGATTTATTTCAGTCATTACTTGGAATTACTTTCTATACATTCTTTTGAAAGTTAATCACTTTTCACTAGAATTCTTTTTTTTCGTTTTTCCTTACTTACTTACATACTTACTAACACATGTTCCCCCCAATGGAACATAGGCTGCCGATCAGAATTCTACAACTCACTCTGTCCCACTCTGCCTTCCTTTCTACTTCTATCCAATTGCTGTTCATTCTCCTCATGTCTATTTCCATTTCTCAAAGTGATGTGTTCTTTGTTCATCCTCTCTTCCTTTGGTATTGAGGATTCCATGTGAGGGCTTACCTTGTGATGCAGTTCGGTTCTTTTCTCAATATGTGTCCTATCCACTTCCACCACTTCTTCCTGATTTCTTCCCCCAATGGGATCTGGTTTGTTCTCTCTCATAGTAGGTTGTTGCTAGTAGTGTCTGGCCAACGGATCCGAAATATTTTGCGTAGACAACTATCAATAAACACATGTATCTTCTGGATGGGTTTCGTAGTTCTCCAGGTTTCCGCTCCATACAGTAGAACTGTCTTGACATTTGTATTGAAAATCCTGACCTTGGTGTTGGTTGAGAGTTGTTTTGAGTTGTAGATGTTCTTCATTTGTAAATATGCTGCTGTTGCTTTTCCGATCTGCGCTTTCACATCTGCATCAGATCCACCATGTTCATCAATGATGCTGCCCAGATATGTTAATGTTTTTACATCTTTCAAATTTTCTCCGTCAATTGTGATTGGATTGATTCATGCTGTGTTGTATCGTGTTTTTTTCTGGTTAAATAATAAATAGAATGGAACATTTTTTATGAGGTTGAATGAAAAGCTTTTACTTATTCTCTTAAATTGAATCAATTCAAATAGCCGGTCATTATTATTGTATTGTAAAAAGATCAAAGAAATATCTCTCATATAAAATACAAAACTTGTAAATATCATAATATGTTTTACTGATAACTTGATTTGGTGATAATATGCTTGACTTAACAATGTTTAAATCTTCCCTTAAATGTAACTATTTCTTAATAAGTTCCAAGATTGTTAATGAAATGAACAAATTTTATGAGAGTTCATCTTAAGTAGCAATTGCATTAATACTAGCTCAGAAGTTACTGCTGAAATGAAGCCATACGAACTACGCACAGAATCCAAAACATTTTAAACCAGATTATTTGCTATATCTTGGCAGTTTGAAGCTAAAACAGTGAAACCGTAGTCATTTTGTTTCTTTTTTACGAGAAACGCATGTGTGTAGGATGTTTCCCAAAAAATTGTTTTTTGAAATAAACGAGCCAGATATAGTTTAAGGACACATACAGTTTACGTCTAAATCTCCTGGTTAATAATATTGTGTTCATAAGAAGAATAAATAAATACTCTATGAATACCTTATATAATTGCTAGTTCACTAATCAACATTATCAACCTGTACAAATGATACCATTGGAGTTACAAAATAACAATTGACCTGAATTGTTTGTTGTGTGACCGTGAGTTATTGGAGAGCCATATATAAGAATCAAGTAGAGCGAAATAGATGTATGATTAAACAACAGTTATCTGATTATGCTCTTCTCTAACTTTGAAAAAGTTACATTTAGGGAAGAGACCTACAAATAAATATATTCATACATATGATTGTGAAGTACACCAACGGTTGAATCCTATGTTTATACATATTATAATAAACACAATGAAAACAGGCTAGATTAGCTTTCATTACAAGTTAAAAGCCATTTTAAAGGAAATGATATTGGTTTAATTAGCGTAGTAAGGTGATTAATGTCTCTTAAATAGTTATCACCCGGAAACAAAAGCTTTTTACATGAAATGATAGATTACATTAATACATAAATTATAATTTTAAAAAATCTACTGATAGAATGCTTAAAAAACAAGTTGCCTTTGAGTGTATACAAAGGAAATACTTAAAATACATTATTCCCTTCAGACTTGATTGAATAGACCGGAAATGATACTGGTCTTTACAACTTGTTAAATGATTTTATGATGCGATAAATATAGGCCTATAGGTTCTACTGGTCTTGAAGTGACGTTTTGTGATAGCCCCTTTTAGATAAGTCTATTGAAAACTTTTTTGGTAAACATATTTCATCCTATAGATGTATGTTTTAGGGTTTTCCATGAAATTACGCCATCGTTTATTTTCAAATCGATAAATGTTATTTTATACAGATGACATTAAAATTTATTGGTTGTAACATGTTTGAGCAACATAGTGTAGTGTCGGTTACTATGTTAAACCCACATAACTTATTCTAGCTTCTGGACAAGCCAATCTATTCATTCTTTCTGAGTCACGTTTTGACTTCTCTAATTATTCACTTATCAACACTGTTTTTGTATGAGCGTATGTGTGTGTACATCTTATCTTACTTACCACATGTCTATAGCTTATTTTTGTGTGACTATAAATATTGATTGACGCTTGACTAAATTGAGTTGACTCACATGCCTTCTCCACTGAGCGTCCTTCCGCTTCGTTCCTCTGATTATCCGTCCAGATCAATCAGTGTACAAAATATACGTATTCAAAAATCCATTCTCGTATTTGACTCATTTAAATCCGTTGTTCACCAATGCGATTTAAGTTGATGATTATATATGAGGATAGACGACAATAAGAAAACATATCATTTTTAATGTATATACATGGTAATATACATATGGCAAAACGTGAAACGTTAAAAGTCAGAAACGATTACTATTTTCATTTAGATCTCATACCGTAGATTGTCGAGAATTACATTAGTATCTTTTGTACATGATTATTTTAACACTGAAACAAACCCACGAGATAGAAGATTATGTAGTATTTTTACGACTTTGGTATAATTTATATCATTATCAATATAAAAAGGTAATGGTAACTGAATACTATCATAACCAAATGAATACATCCCTAAACTTGAGATGAAAGTCAGACTCTAAATTTCAATCAAAAATTGAACACAAATGCTTTAGTGATAAACTTTAACAGAGTAATAGATATGAACGACAAAATAAATTTTATTTTATATATGATTGATTATGAAATTATTTGTACTTTATATCTATTCCTGCATATCTATTACATAACCTGACCTATGTATTCAAAAGGAGACGGTTGTTAATCTTTCCTTGCCTTGGTGACAAATATTCTTTCACTGCACCTTAAAATTTTTTTTCTTTTTTCTTTTATATTTATTACATTATTGATTTTAATTTTTTTCAACTATCTTTCAAATTAATAATCTTTCAAGTAAACTCTACTCACTGTATTCCTATCAGTGTTTATTGATTATGTAATCGATTGTTTCTAACCCACTTTTGAACTGTGTCACAATTAATGTTGTAGAATATTCTTTCACATTAGGTATATATTTACAATAGTCAGTCAATTAATTTCATTTACACACATAATATACTTTACGAATATTTCTTCAATATAACTCCCAAACAAACCCTCTCATGTAAGCAATTTAAACCCAGTATTGATTGAGATCATGAAGCGATTGATGTTAGACCACCACAATTGAAAACCTGGAAGCACTGGACGGCTGTTTCGTCCTATTGTGGGACTCCTCAGCAGTGCGCATCCACGATCCCGCTCGCGGGATTCGAACCCAGGGCCTTCGGTCTCGCGTGCGAACGCTTAACCAACTGGATCACTCAGCCGGCATCCAATGGTGATAGTGTCTAACACCAACCAATCCACGAAATTGCGCGACCAACTCCCATTGTACTGAGGTAGATACCTGTCTCTACCCGACATGGATTAACTCCACTGATCACGGCTTCTCACTAGAACTCCGAGAATTCCCTCACGAAGCTAGTCACTAGTGAGCACATGTTGAATAATAGTATGGGGGTTGTGGAGATTATTACATTTTTGATTGAGATCATCACCAATCGGTTCATGATCTCAATCAAAAACGTAATAATCTCCACAACCCCCATACTAGTAAACCCATTATGTAATTATGATTTTGAAATATCACAGGTTGTAAGCAGCTGACGAGAACCTACGAAATAAAATGAATTCATGCTATTCTGCTAGAATCTTTGTTCTTGCTCTTTTCAATATAAAATAAACTCTTAAAAAGTGTTAAAAATCTGGTGGTTTTTTGTTCACCTATTAAGATTATATTTGGTTCACAATGGACTATTGATTATCTCAAATGAATAATTAATAATTATATTATTATTATTTTATTTTAGATTGTTGAAATCTGTAATTTTCTGGTGATATTATCTTATCCAGCAAATTTTTTTGTATATTTGGCTATGTCAAGACAATTTAAAAATACCTTCTGGAAAATATTCTATCAATTACGTCGTAATAGTAATGATAATAATCGTACTACCATTGAACAATAAAATTATAAATATCAATGTCAGCTCATTTGAATATGGAACTCATTATTGTTCATTTTAAATTGAATGAAAAGATGTTTTTTGTTTTGTTTTTGTTTTCTTGCCATTATTAACAGTAAATGAATAAAACATTTTTACATACTCTTGTTTATCTCTTCATCAGAACATAATATTCAATATATAGTTCAAATGAATTATTATTATTATTATTAACTTTCCTCTTAATTTGATTTGTATACATTGAATAAAGCTATTTGTATTGACTTCTTTTGATCTATAATATTATGACAAATTGAATTGTATGATACCAATTGTTTACTTCAATAGGTTATATAAGATAATTTACAGATTTGTGATTGGCTATAGATACTAGTGTGGTGTATGATACTGATAGTAATATGTATCATTAATCAAAAGTGAAATGCCTAGAGGTAGAAGGTTAAAAAGAATAAAGAAAAGAGAACGAGAACAAACAATGATTGGTGTAGAAATGAAAGAACAATAAAGTTTGAGATGATTGCTTTATATTTTGCAGATGAAGTATTTACTGTATGATTCTCAGATTTTACTAAGATATTCTGTAATTTTGTATTCAAATACATTTGATTGTCCCTACTTGTGTTCTAATCCACTACACTAGAAATAAATATATCTAATGAGTCTTGTCCAGAAAAAAACAAAATATTTGAAAAATTAAAATGTATTACTATTAATGATATTCTTATTTTGACCATATGAATGAAACATATGCTATTTTTTGAAGAATATGATACAATGTAAAAGTAACGAAATGCTTATACACTGACATATAACTCTTTCAGATAGCTAAACATTCTATTTACATAGCACGGTTGGTTTATTTAATATCTCATTTACAGAACTAATATCTAAATTAATATACTTCCGACTACAGAAGAATACCAATCTTAGGGGTTGTATACTAATACTTGTAAGTCCGTATCTTTATTGGTTAGATAAAAAAGGGGTTGTCTGAGGTTTTCTTTCTTAAATAACTGGAATGTTAATTTCATATATAGTGGTTAGTGTTTGATATGTGAGCTATCTCCGAAAGAGATGATAAACAGATAAGTTATTAACTAAATTTAGTCCTAGAATAAAATCATCCAATGTTTATAAGCAGATTTGATTTGAATATTGGTATTCTGATAATAAGCTCCTTGATATTCTCAACAACAAAAAAAGAAATATAAACAAAACATTGTCTTTTTTATGAAGGATGTTTTACTACTTGCTACTAGCAAAATAACTGGATTATCACTATTTGATCAGACTAATTTGATGCGTTTCGCCGTTAAATTTGTCGACTAATTTGTAGTATGCTGTAAACCTATAGATGTGCATTGTAAATAATGAACTGTAAATAAGTATCATTGTTTGGTCATTAAACTTTTAAATCATTAAGTATATTTAATAAAGATGCCGCAATTTATTCTGAGCATATTATGCAATCCTAAATATCTGTTACATTACATTTTAAATTAAGCGTAAGTAATATGATACACTAACAATCATCGATTTCATTCATATTAAAAACGCAAAGTACAGTTAATGTAGAAATAAGTTATATTTTTAATTATTGGTGAATACAATCTCTGCCATAGAAATCATTACTATCTCTTGAGATAGTGAGAGGTTATTATTTGTAAACTTGAATAAGTGCATGTTCAGTTCAGTTGTGTTTCTAATTCTGCCGAAGAAGATATTGAAGAAATAAGTTAATGTGGTAGATAGCTAATATACAATAGTTATTTTAGTAGCTCATTAAATTCTGAATTCATAGCTTAAGCAGGGAATACACTAGTAATGCTACTGACAGCTACTGACTACTTACACGTGCTGAGGAGTCCTAAGAAGAATATTAGGATAAAACATTAATTTTGTAAAATCCAAATTAACACGATGAACAAAAAGATTTAGTTGAAAAACGAAAGTTCTGTTATTTCAGAACATATGTAGAAACATGTGAATTTAAGGAAAACAAAAACTCTCCACAATTGAAAGATATCATTGTAGGCAATTTTCATAATCCACTGATCAGTAACATATGTTAAGGACTTAATTAGAGTAAAAGTCAACCCTCGAACTACGACTGAGGATTTAAATGAGTATTGTGTTTAAAGTTCCTACCATTCAAAACAAGTGACCTACTCCATACTTATTTAAAAACATTTCAACTGTCACCAGTATGTATCATTAGCTAATGAGTGAGACTAACTTTGGATAATAAAAATGTCTATAAAGTCACATGGAAATGGTACTGGAACAAACGATTAATATATATATATATATATATATATATATATATATATATATATATATATATATATATATATATATATATATATATATATATAAACAACATAAGCTACTCTATGAGACAATGATATCAATAACGTGAATTGTACAACCTAATAATAATCCAATGGAAGATGACAATAATATTAATAATAATAACACACTTGCACCATTGATAACTATGTGGGGTCATTCAAAGTTATAATGAGCTTACCAAAGGTAGTGCAATAATGGGATATAAAATATGTTACAGAAGAGCTGTACAGATAAATACAGAAGTAAATGATGACTACAACTAGAAAAACTATTCACGCTTTAATTTTAATTATTGTAAATCATACTCAGAACTACTTGTTAACTCTCGTTTTTATTTTATATTTCATCAATTGTCTATTCCTTTGTTCCTGTTTTGTACATTCTTTTATTCTTAAACTCCTACAGCAGCTCGCTTGTAATGGGGACCCTGTCTTATCTAAGTGACCTAAATTTACTGACTAGTCAAACGTTGAATGCTACCACCGACTATGAATACTGAATCAGTCTTTCTGAAACCACGTACACCATTCTAACTAGTCTCTTTCAACGTCCTCACATTAATGAAGGTCGGACAACAGACCCGAGACCCGTATTCACGCCTCTAATGAAGTGCTACAAGTTACCTCTCCATCTATCACTTCATAAAGCCTATTTCATGTACGTTCGTCCTAGCACGCTAAGGCACCATCTGATTTTGCTGGCTTTGGTATCGCACTAAGCGCTAGAACTGTTGGTTGTGTGATGTTAAATTGTAAAGGTCCACAAAAGTGAGAAGAAATAGGCATGAGGGACGATATATTTTCATCATTTCCGCCTACGCTTCGGCAGACTGCAACCTACATACGATCAAAGATGTTTTAACTCAAGTTAATTGCTCTACAAATATTGCGTCAAACAGATATTGTAGTACTAGCTGGAAGCATGAACGCACAGGTCGTGCGTCTGGGAATAGAGGAGGGTTGTTCGGGTCACTACTAAATATAGACATAGTCATCGCTGACGTGCTACCTGGCGTCCAGCGTCTCGAACTCCAACTGATCACATTCTTGTCAGCTACCGCTGGCGTGGTTGTGTACAAGACTGCCTCCCCTTTCGGAGTATTTGTCTGGACTCTGATCATACAATTGTTTGCCCTAATCTTATGTTTCAGTGGCCAACAAATTAAACGCCCTAAGTAGACTGTTGACAGTAAGCTGGTGGCAGTATCTGTTGTGAACAAATATCAAGCCAACCTAAGTTTAAGGCTAGCTACCATCCCACAGAAAAGTATAGATGAGCACTGGTTGCGATTGCATAACGTCATAAAAATGACGAGTAGAGCCGCTTGTGGCTTCGCAAAACGTCCCGCTTATAAGCACCGGGTTTATTCAGACTCCTTACAACTCATTAAAGCCCGTCGGTCTACTCCGAGTGACCGCGAGTCTGACCACAAACGAAGAATGTTATGTAATGAACTTGGGCAAATCTTGAGTAAGGACTGAGAAGCCTGGTGGTCAGAGCGTGCTAATGAGCTGGAAGCAGCAGTTGCATCTGGTAACTGTCTGAAGCTCTTTCAACTCATCCGGGTCACTGGCAGCAAGAAGACTGGTGTGAGTGAAACAATCTGTAAGGTTGATAGCGTTCCAATCAAAACATTTACCAATGTCTTGGACGATGGGCAAAGTTTTTCAAGTAGTAGCCTAATTGGTCTGCTGCACTGGCAACGTCGATTAGACTGTGCTACCCTCCATGGCCTTTGACGGCTGATCCAACAAACGAGACGGAAGTTCGCAAGGAACTCCAACTCTTGAAACGCTACAAGTCACCAGGTCCAGATGATTTACCTCCGACCCTTTTTAAGGATGGTAGTGGCCTTCTGGTTAAGCAACTGAATGAGTTGTTCTCAAAGGTTTGACAGTTAGAGAATGTTCCAATATCATGGAATGAGTCGATAGTTGTTTCTGTCTTTAAAAAGCATTCACATCGTCTACTCAATAAATATCTGGGATAAGTCTACTTCTGATTGCGTCCAAACTATTGGCTTGTACTTCGTAGACTGTTCAAAATCTGAGAAAGGTTGACTCAGGAGGAGGAGACTAGTTTTCATTCTGGTTGACAATGTAATGATAATATATTCACCCTTTGCCAAATGTTAGGACACTGTCATACATATTATCGGGCTTGGTTGAAAGAATTTGAAAGTGAGTCTATGAGAAACCCTACAATCAAGCACTTCGTGAACAAGGGTCGTTCAATCAAAACAGACTCAGCACTCAAACCATCTACAAAGCAAGTAAAAGCTCACCATACAGTTTGCTCTTGCTTTCTTAGCTTTCCCGAAGCATTTGCCATGCATTTGGAGAAGCTGTAACAGTAACATATACAATCTTATTTATACCATGTTTTTGTTTTACCTATTTTTCAAATCCATTACTCTCCCTCTAACTTCCTTTAATGGCCTTTAATCATCCAAAGACATTTTTCTGTTTCTAATTTTACTCTGATAGCATTTCATATCAACTTCTCAAGTTACGCAACCATTTTTTAGTAAGTACCTATCTTTGTCCATCTTCTTGATCAATATTCAGGCTCCTAACACTTACATTTTCATCTTTTCTTATTTTGGTCAGTAACTCATTATCATTAACAGATATTTTATCGCTTTTCATTTCCATAGTTTCTAGATCATAAACTTGTCTTAGACCCCCCACTGGAAATCTGGAAACATAAGACGGCTGATTCCTCAAGCGCACACACACACAAATCTACATCTGTGAATCGAAACGAAGACTCGTGATATTGCGAGATTATCTTCGATTGCCTGCGGTGGATAACTGTCTGGTTGAACTCGACTGGTCACAGTTTCTCACTTCAAGAGCTG